TGTGCAAGGCATAGGGAGACACAAAGCAATTCCTGCTTTCAAGAAGCTATATTCTACTGAGAGACACAAAACCATAAAAGACAAAACACAAGAGACTACTAATAAATTGGAGGGAGGGGAGAAGGTGGGGTAAAAAAGGCTTTCTCTAGGCAAAGGTGCATGATGTGAGTTTTGAAGGAGGCTAGGGATTCTAAAAGGTAGAGGTGAAGAAGAAGTACATTGTCCAGGCACAGGGGACAGCCTGTGCAAAGGCAAAGAAGTGATCAAAGGAGTGTCAAATTCTGGGAGCAGCAACTAGCCAATTTGGCTGGAACGTAGACTTCATGAAGAGTAGTGCGATGCAACAAAGCTGGAAAGGCAGGCTGGAGACAGACTGGAAGGATTAAGCTGAGCAGTTCAGAGTTAATCTTCAAGTCAACAGGATCCTGCTAAAGATTCTTGAGGAGAGAGTGACATAGACAGGCCTGTGCTTTAGAATAGGAAGATTACTGGCAGCTCTGTGGAAGAGGGACTGGAGACTGGAGAACCTTTCTCAGGATGGTCAAACAATTAAGATCTAGTGAGCAACAGATAGATTGTGAAACAAAAAAAATATGGGGGCCACCATGGTTATGACCTCACATAAAAATTACAGCCACCTACAAGAATCACAGAATAAATCACAGAATCTCAGAGTTGGAAAGGACCTCAAAGGCTCATGTCATCCAACCCATAAATGAATACAAAGTCCCTCTACAACCCATCCACAAGTGGTTATCCAACCTTTGCTTGAAGATCTCTACTGAAGGAGTACTTACTATCTCTCAAGGCAATCAATTCAACTTTAGGATAGCGTGAATTGTTAGGAAGTTTTTTCTTGTATCAAGTCTAAATCTGCCTCTCTGCATATCTACCGCATTGTTCCTAGTTCAGCCAGCTAAGGCCTAGAACAAATCTAACTCCTCCTATTAACCTGTTCTTGATCATGCCATGCTAGGTCTTTAAAATCTTTTTCTAGATTGCTTACAGTATGGTTAAGATAGAATGACTAGAAGAGAATACCTTGGATCAAAGAGGAAAATAGGGGAGAAGAATGGTCCCTTAACTCCACCAAGTAGGAAAGTCTATATAGGCAGCTTACAGTCAGGATAGTAACCTAGGAGTTCAGATAGGAAATGCCATTTCTCCTCTAGGACCTAAAAGTATGTTTGCTGAGAAATAAGATCAACTCATCAAGATGTTACTGGGACATTAGGCATAGGATAGCCATACAGTTTCAATGTAATAAAGGAAGATAAACACTATGTAGCTTTATAAGTAACTCTGGAACTCTGTAAATCTTTAAAACACTTGTGAGCCCTAGTTAGTAGTAATTAGAAAAAAACCAAACTGCACAGAATTGTATGAAATTGTAGGAACTGGTAAAAACTGCTTTGTCAAGAAGTTATATAAGCACATTAACCAGCAAATAAATCAAGAAATATTTAAGCACCTACTAAGTACAGAGAGCCCTTTGCTAGCTGCTAAGGGAGATAGAAAGTTTAGGATTATAGACTCAAAGCTAGCAGGGATCATCTTCTATTCCACTATCTTCATTTTATAAATCAGGAAACTGAGGCCCAGAGAAATGAAATAACTTGCTCAAGGCCACAATGGCAGTAGCAAAGCTTGAGATTTGAAGCCCAGTTTCTCTGATTCTCTACTGAACCACTGTTACTGCCTCCCCCCCTACCCCCCTTTCCCCAACCAGTAGGCTGGAAGACAGCCTGGTACAGTGGAAGGGGCACAGCAATGGAAATCCCAACACCTGAGTTTGAACCCTGGCTCCGATGTTACCAGTTACGTGACTATGGGCTAATTTCTTAATTTCTCTGACTTCATTTGTAAAATGGGATAAATACTCATACATAATTCATAGTTAGCTCATACAGCTTTTATGAGCAAAGTATTTTGTAAATCTAAAACACTTCAAGTGTATGATTTCACTGGTGTAGGTACTCCCATGGTAGAGAACAGACTGTTCTGCTCCTATAACTTAGTACATGCTTTTGAGGATTTGCTGTGGCCAAAAAATTGATCATCTTGGGGCTAACCTGATCCTGAATCTCTGATCTTAGTTAGCTAGGTTGATCTGTTGGCAGTAGACCTACAGGCCAACTGTAGATCCCTATTTGAAATTGTTCTCACTTGATAGGACCTGCCAGAGCTCATGCTCCCCTGTCATAGGCTTTGAGAATCCCAAGCCACCTCCATACCAGGCTGAGATATTGGAGGAGAGCTTCAGTGGGCCTTAAAGTGCCTTATTAAATGAGTTGTTGTGCCCCTAGCTGGATGGTGAAAGTGAGAAATGCTATAGATTCCCCTGGATCAACAGGAGAGGTAGAAGCCAAATGGGTGGCTGTGGTCAACTCCAGGATCATAGTCTCCTGAATTCCTGGATTTGGGGGTATGATGGGAAGAGATATTTCAACTCAATTCGACAAACACTTATTAAGAACCTACTGTATATAAGACACACTAGTAGGAACTCAGAATATAACAACGGAAAGAGGAAATAGTCTCTGCACTCAAGGAGTTCAGAATCCAGTACGGAGGAATAAGAGAGGTACACAAATCAGAATACAAATTAGAATATGTGATCTGAGAAGAGGAGTATAGTGGTTGATCAGATGGTAGTGAATCAGGGAAGGTAGCATCTAGGTCCTAGATTCTAGGAGGTTGCACCTGAGCTGGGTAGGAAAAAAAAGATTTCATCACGTAAGGAAAATCTGCAGACACAGGGTGGCATGTACAAGGCATGGAGATGGGATAGGGCTAGAAGAAACCCAGAAACATTAAGTGGTCCAGTTTGGCTGGAGTGTAGGATGCATGAAGGGAAATGGTATGAAATAAGGCCTGGAAGAAGGCTGGAACCAGATAGATTAGGGAATGCCTTGAATGCCAGGCTAAGAGTCTGTACTTTCAGTAGTAGACAAAGGGGAAACTCCTGAAGGTATAAAAGCAGGGGAATAATGTAATCAGACCTGTGCATTAGCAGTAGTATTTGGTAGCTGTGTAAAATGAGTAAACTGGACAAAGGAAAGGATAGGAAGAAAGACAGTTTCATTTTTGTTGTGTTGAAAGAGTATCTAGAAGCAGGAGAACTGAGATAGAGGTAAGAGATTAGTCACCTATGTACTGAACTAGTTTAAACCACTAGCCTAGTATTAATGGATGTAGAGAAGAGGAGCTATTAAAGGTGCTGGTAGAACAATATGAGTGGTAGGAGGAAAATCCTAAGAGTGTGGTCAGAGGGCACATACAAGAGTGTTAAGAGCAGTAGACTGAGGGCAATCAAGGCACCAGAAAAAAAAGGGAAGCGCATTACCTTTGGTTCTATGGAGGTGGGAGGAATATTCTCTCTAAATGGTCCTTTGGTGACATGGATTAAGTTAACTAGAGTATTTGCTTAAATGTCAGACCCAGGCTTTTCACTTTCCTTTGCTTGACTCCTGATTCCTATTTGCTGATTCCCAGCAGAGCTTATCTTAGGTATTGGTGCAGATCTGTGGCTCTATACTTACTGGAACACTCTCCTAGTTCAATGCCACCCAGCTCTAACCCCAAGTTCTAGCGTTAGTCACTCCTCACACAAATGGCTGTGAGAATGGGCCTGCTGAGTTGAGAGATGGTCAGACACGGTAAGACTAACAGTACTTCATTAATCTCAATTATTTCGCAACCGGTAAGGTCACTGCGTCACCATCATATTACACCGTGCTTCCCTTCACTTCTTGTACTAGCCCTGGATCAGTGACCATTTCCAAGTTGCCTTTTCTTGACTACTGATTTGAGATTTCCCAAATTATATGGAAATATCACAATGCTTATGATGTCAAGGGCCAGAGCCTGGAAAGGAACCCTGTGATGCAGTAGGAAAAAAAAAAAGCACTGAACTGGGAGTCGGGAGATCTGGGGTTTAGTTCTAGCTTTGATATCAACTAAGTGACCTGGGCAAATAATTTCTTTCCTGGAGAATTCCAAGAGCTCAGTTTTCTCATCTGTAAAAATGTTTTCTAAAGTCCCTTCCAGTTCTATCATTTCAACTTGGCTGAGCTCTCTACATAGGCTGAATAATAAAAGGAGCCACTGGAACTCAGTCATAGGGTACCATCCCTACATTTTACTTGTCACCCTTCTGGTAGTCTGGGGAAGCCTGTGAACCTCTCTTCTCAGAATGTTTTACAATGCATAAGATAAAGCACATAGGATTACAAAAGAAACCAGTTATGTTGAAATAGAGATGTAATTTTCTTCCTTCACCCCAGTTCATGGACTCTTTGAAATCTATCCCACCAACCCGTTGTGGTCCTGTGGACCCCAGGTTAAGAACTCCTGCCTAAGTAGACTGTCTTTTTTCCTTAGGCTCTAAATGCAGCAACACCAACAAACACAAATTCTTTACTGTCTCTAAGATAGCCTTCTCTCTTACATGCTCTTAACAAATAACCACTCAGCAGTTTTCAGGATCACTAGCTAAAATCCATCTTTCTCCTTGGTTACCGCCTTCCTCTCCAACCTCAGTACATACCAAGCTAGGAATGTACAGAGAGCTATACCACCTATATTTAAAGCAACACAGAATTTTATGGCAATTAACAATCTATATACTATACCTAAAGAACCTAAAGCATCTTTCTGGAATGCCTGTGTCCTCAGGCCAAATACTCCCCAGTTTGGAAATCTTTCCCTTTCTGCCAAATGTGACAGACGGGTCCTTTAATCTTCCTTTGGCTTCCCTCTTAGTTTGCCTCCCCCCCCCCACTACAAAGCTCCAACTTTCGATCTCGGCACCTGCCAGGGCCAGTTCCTCTACACTCTTCCTTCCCACGGTCAAGTTCTGGGGGAGCTCCTGCAGATGGGACTCCAAAGCGCCTTCTGAGTCCTGGCGGGGTCATTTCGCCAAACATTTTGCCAGGTGCAAAACCACTCCTCTCCCAAGACAACAAGTATTGATTAAGCACCTACTGTGTGCCATGCGGGGTAAGTGGTCAGTCCGGGAGATCGGTAATGTTCAAGGCCAGACCCCGGCCGAAGGCAGGCGAGGGTGGGCTCTTCAGCATCAGGGGGCACCTCCTCCACCGGACTGAGCTCACGCTCGGCCCCGGGGGCCCTCATCTCCAGGGATGGGGGGTAGCCACGCCCCGGGGGCCCAGGGCGGGGGCGAGGCCAGGTGGGGGGAGCTGCAGGGCGTTGCCAGCTGCAGGCGGCCCCTGGAGGAGATCGCGCTCCGCCGGGGGCCCCCTTTGCCCTGCCCCCTCCCGGCCCGGCCGCGCCCCAAGCTCATACCCCACCGCCGTCCCCACCGCTTACCCGGGGACTCGCTCCGGCTCCGGTCCGGGACTTACGACGTGACCCCCGCCCTGCGCATCCCCGCCTGCTCGGGAGCTGGGGCAGCTGCTGCGCCTTCGCTCCCGGGGGGCTTCGGAGGGAGGGTCCTACCTTGAGCTCCCTCCACCTGCCCCACCCGGGGGCCGGACTCGCGGGGGGCTGAGCGAGAGACCCCAGCCCGGGGCGAAGCCCCCCCGCCTGCACCCGCCGAGGCAGGCTCGGCTCGGTTCCGCTCGCGCGGCGGCTGTTACCGGCTGCGGCAGCTGCGGCCCCACCGTTCCAACAGCCGAGGCTACTCCGGCCTCGCGCTGGCAGAAGCGCCCTCGGCTGGTGGGCGGGCGGGGGGCGGGCCGGGAGCTTGTGCGCCCCCTCCCCTTCCCCCTCTCGACAGGCGGGCGGGAGCGCGCTGGAAGGCGGTGGCGGGGTGGGGGGAGCAGAGCCGCAGGGACGGGTACGAGGCTCAGCTCGCGCCGCCTGGTGGAGGGGAAGGGAGGAGGCGCACGAGGTGGGGAGGGAGGGGGCGAGAGTGAGGAAGAGCGCGTGCTGTTCGCTAGCGAAGAGGGTGGCGGGCTGGCGGGCTGGGGCAGGAGTCGGGGCTACGGGGGTGGGGGGGAAGCGGTGTAGCAGCTTCGGCCTGACGCAGGCGGGCTGGGGAATACCAATGAGCGCCCCCCCGCCAAGTCCGGGGACTGCAGAGCCTGGGACTGCACCAGCCAGTCCGTCCGATTGGCACCAGCAAGGTCAGTCACAAGCCGAGCCTTCCCCTGCTAGGCCCCTCGGAGGGGGCTGTGTGCATGTATGCATGCGTGCGTGCATACATGCATTCATTCCAGCAGCAGATTGCAGGGAGTTTGTGGAAGTATGCATGCGTGTATGCATTGGTTCATTCATTCATTCATCTGTCCATTCATTCGTTCATTCATTCATTCACGGGCCCTCATCAACTTCCCCTCCAGACTCAAGTCTCTGGAAGCATCTTAGAGGGAGGGGGAGGTCAGAGGAACTGTGACTCCTGGAGGAGGCGCCAATCCAACCCAATCTGAGCTTCATATTAGAGCATTTGGACCTAAGGAACCCGATACAATCGAAAAACTGAAACTGAACTCAGACCCCTCCCCACCCTTCTATAAATGCGGGGGGGGGGCGGGGCGGGGCTGCTGTTGGGGTCCAGCCGGCTTCACCTTTGGCTGTGGCTTTGCATTCGTGGTGGGTGCACAGGTATCTTACGTTAGAAAGCACTCCCACGTGGACCCGAGCCGTGAAGCGTGAAGCTGCAGTGGAGCCAGATTGGCAATTTGAGAGAGTGAAGCTCTGCATTGCACATCTGTCTGGGGAAGCGGGAATGACTGATTAGGAGGTTTAGCTTTGGTTAGGAGATACCTTCCAGCTCTTTTTAGGCCAACCCCTCGATTTTCAGGGGAGGAAACTGAGGCCCAATGAGGATGTGATTTTTCCAAGGTCACAAAAGCGCTAAATAGAACAACTAGAGTTGTTCCCCACCCGCTCCCTTGGAAAGTGTAGGATTTTGTTCTCTGATCTTCCCACTTACTCTGGGACTTTTCGCTCCCTTTCCTTGACCTTTTTCAGGCAGACCCATCCAATCACAGGAGCTCATTTTCAGTAGCTCTGTCACAGTTTTTAAACATGACATGTATTCTGTTTGTTAACTTCTGCTAACTGTTGACTAGTCACATTAATCCATCCAGAAGCATTTATTAAGCACCTCTTATATGGCAGTAGCTGACCTTGAGAAGCCTAGTCTGGGGGAAGAGGGGGATCACATGCACATTTATAGGTATATATGCAAAACAGATACCAGATAAGTTTGGAGGAAAGGCACTGGCAGTTGGTGAGATAGGAAAGGCTTCATGTAGAAGGTGATGTTTGAGCCAAACCTTGAAAGAAACCAACGGTTCTTGGAGAAGTGAGGAGGGAATACATTCCGCACAAGAAAGAGCAGCCCATGCAAAGATATGAGGATGAAGTGCTGTGTTCAAGGAACAGCCTTGGTATTCATGAAGAGGAGTAACATGAAATAAGGCTGTTTGGAGAGGTTGTGAAGGGCTTTAAATGCCAAGCAAAGGCTTATATTTTATCCTAGAGTAATAGGGAGCCGCTTGAGTTTAGAGAGTAAAGGAATGACAGTCAGATCTGTGCTTTTGAATATTACTAGGCAACTGTGTGGAGGGTAGATTGGAGTGGGGAGAGACCTGAGGCAGGAAGACAAAATGAGAGGCTGGAGGAGTAGTTCAGGCAAGAACAGAGGTGGTGCCTATATAAGGGTAGGGAAAGGGGCCTAAGCAAGAAATGTTGGGGAGGTAGGAATGACAGAGTTTGGTGGAATTGGTGAGGTCTGGTAACTGGGCAAGTGGTAGGAGGGGGATTACTAGTTGAGGATGACACAGTGGCTGCAAACCTGGGCGGATAGAGGAGCTGTGGTACCCTCAGTAGGAACAGGAAAGTCTGGAGGAGGAGGGAATTTAGGGGGAGAAATCATGAGCTCTCTTGGAGTTTGAGAAGCCAGTGATTGATTGATTTGGATCTGGGAATCATCCTCATAGATATAACTAAGCCCTCGAGAGCTGATGACACCAGCCCTCTGGGTACCATTTCCTGACATAATTAATAAGGCTTCTATTTTTAAGAGCAAGGTCTGTCTAGCTGTCTTTACACACTTTCCTGCCTATGTGCCTTTGCTTATGCTTTTTCCTATATCAACAATGTCTCTCTCCCCCCTTCACCTGTTGGATTCCTACCTGTTGTTTAAAGCTCAGTGTAAATGCCATCTCCTCTGTGAATCCTTCCCTGATCTGTAATGACTCCCCTCCCCCCCGCCCCGTTTGGAATTCATATAACATTTTGTTTTGCAAATCTAATTAATGTATCATGTAATATCATATATTGTAATTATTCGTGATTGTGTCTTATCTTTCATTAGGCTGTAAGCTCTGTGGGAACAGAGATTGTATTTTAGCTAAATTTACATCTCTCACAGTGCCTAGGACAATCCTTGTCCTAGGCTTGTCCACAATAGACACTTGATAAGTGTTTTTTGAAAGAATGAATGCCTACTTTATGTCTAGACTGCCCAAGATTCTTTTGACAACATTTACTCAGGAACTTTATACAACTGATTAATACAATGGATTTTTCTGTTCACCTATCATACATTCTTTGAATACCTAGTATTCAAACCTAGGATGGAAGGTTGTACCAAAAAAGAAAGTGATATGTGCCTGAAACAAAAAAATTATAAAAAGACATGAATAAGTGCCAATGATATTCAATAAACCCCCTGATTTACATTATTATAACTTACTTTTCCTGGTGCTCAATTGTCTATATTAATAATGTACTGAGTTATGCAACCCTCACTCCTTTCTCGGTATGTTTGATAAATAAACATCTACATCATTTGCTGTGACAGCCCAGACAAGCAGGTAGGCAGTGGTGTTTGGGACCCCCTTCAGAGCTGAATTACTCCAGTAACTCTATAGGCAGAGGACCCTGTAAAGGGTGATGAGCTTCTTTCTGGGTTAAAACTAGAGCTATCAATGAAGAGGAAGATGTCACAAATCTGCTCCTTAAGAAATCTCTGCTGACTTCCTGGAATATGATAATGTATAAAATGCATAAAATATACATTATTGCTTATCTAAAAGTATAATAAGCCATAGCTTAATTTATTTATATTTTTCTGCCCTTTGCAGCATTTCTTTCTCCTCTGCCCAAGTGATTTTAGGATATACTAGATCCTTGGATTGAAGAGAGACAGAGCATATGATTGATCACAGTGGGATAGGATACTCAGAAGAAACTTCTTGAAAAAACTGAGCTTTGAGCTGAGTCATAATGGAGAAAAAAGAGCATCAGGCAGCCTAGGAAGAGGAAAGGAATGAACAAAGCCCTGTGGACGAGTGTGTGAGATTTGGATGGGGCTAACCTGATTAGAATAGAAAGGATGTGATGGGAAGTAGTTTGTAACATATTCTTATATCATTTGGTCTTTTGTTGTTTTACGTGTGCTTGGCCCTGGAGGCTGTGGTGGTGTATACTCTCCTCTCCAGGATGGGTCTGGACCCATGAACAAGAACTAGCTTCAGTCCTGGGGGAGTCTGACAACCTAAGAGAAGGGTCAGCCTCTTTCTCACACTCTTTGGCTCTTTATAATCCTAACCTGGAGCCCCACCGAGAATTGCTTAAGGTTTTAGTTTGGGCTCATGCCCAAGATCTCCTCCAAAAAGTGGGGAGTAGAAAAGGACTCAATCTACAATGCAGATAAGGCCAGTTATTTATTTCCTCCAAAAGAAATGTTTAACACACAAAACCCACAAGTGCCCATTGCCAGAAGAAGCCAGTAACCTTAGCTATTCTTATTCTTTTTCCAGAGGTTGATACTCAAAACATCAGCACATGATGCAGTTTGCAGGACTGCTGGATTTCACATTTCACCTCTTCTCACCATGTTCTTGTCTTCTGGAAAGCCTGACCAAGGGTTGATTGATCTTCTCTGTCGTGGTTATCCTCTCCAATGCAGAAACTCTCTCTACTGCCTCTAAACAAGGGACCCAGGATCTCCGGGTCTTTTGAACTTAAAGGTTGTCTCCGAGGCTGGACATGTCTATCTCAGAAATTACTTTTCATAAACCTGTACTCAGGAAAGGAATAAAACAGAAGCAGCAGCCCCGGGCCCAAGGCCTAGTCTCTGTCACCTAATCTTGAGCATGCTGGAGCTGCCGTCTGCCAAGTTTACTGTTTCTGCAGGTCATCAGCCCCACCCTCACCCCTTGAGATGCTGACATCTCCAGATAGAAGAGAGGTAGAAGGTAGAGTCACTCCCCTTTTAAAGTCCCCCGATACTGTTCTTGCTCAGTGTCAATAAGGGGACTGTTTCCTCATCCCAGAGTCCTTCCCCAGAAATGGCTCCGCATTTCCATGGAGTGTGCCCCAGTCTAACTCCTGCTGTGTGTATGTTTTGTTTTCCCAACCAGACTGATGCTTTTCAAAAGTCCGGATTTGTGTTTTCAATTTCTTTTTCATCTCCCTTAAGTAGAGAACTGTGCGTATGACAGATAACTGATGTTCAGTGAATACTTATTGATCAAACGATTGAGAAGCAAAAATGAGACCAGTTATAAATGCGTGGCGAGAGGGGCACTGTATTTTCTTAAGCAGGGTAATACTTCACTGGGCCTATGATGTCTTCAGGGTAGGTATTCCCTTCAGTGGTGCAGATCTCAACCTATCCACGCATGCTTTCTCATCCTGTGACTCTTCTCCGTTTCTTCACATACATCCTCCGTAAGGGATCTAAAATTAAAACAAAAAGCAGAGGAATAATGCGGTTGAAACTGCATAGTGACTCCTAGATAAAAGACTAAATGGTAGTTCATATTTTTTCTTGCCTACTGTTTAAAAAAACATTTTTTATCTAATTATAAAGAAGAGAGACACTTAACTTAGGTGTTAGTCCTTTAATTTTATAACAGTTCCTTGTGTATGGGAGAAAGAGAAACACAGTATCTCATTAATTCCTGCTACTCTCCCATCTTAATAAAGTAGCTTATTAGCTTTTAGAGATAGGTGCCTCACAAGAACATCTTTCCTAAATTGGTTTTGGGATATAGTTCACTGAAGTGCTTAAGATGTTGCTTGCTTATGCCAAATGCTCCTATTTACTGCTGAAACACAGGCTCCATGCTTCTCTTCTTACTTGATGACCTAGAATGAGGAATTACTATGGCAACCAACGAGGAATCACTGGATTCCCTTCAGAGAAGTCCCAGGGCTTTTCCGTCTGGAATTTCTAGGCTGCTCCATTTGCTCTTTATCCACCAAGAAACTGGCAGGAGAGGCAGCTAGGTGGTGCAGTGGATAGAGCACTGGCCCTGGATTCAGGAGGACCTGAGTTCAAATCCAACCTCAGACACATAACACTTACTAGCTGTGTGACCCTGGGCAAGTCACTTAATCCCATTGCCTAGCCAAAAGAAAAAAAAGAAAATGGCAGGAAGGTTTCTCCCAGTAGATGTTAGTCCCATCAATTGTATCTTGGCACCATTGTCAGAAGTGAGATGCTGAGTTGGATGGATCATTGGCCTGACCTACTATGCAATGCCCTTCTATATTGTTTCTCAGAAATAAACCATTATTTTCCAAGGGTGGCAAAGGAATATTTCTCATAATTAGTTGTTCAGAAATGGTTAATGTTTAGGGGCTACTAAAAGGTCACTTCCTTGAGTCACTGTCAGGTTTAAGCCAGCAATTGCCTCTCTCTTCTTCATGGGAAGATTAATCCACAATTTATTTAGTTTCGTCTAATTTTTTGCCTCTTGAATGGGGTGTTTTCTTTTAGTCCTCAAAGACTCACTGCAGCATCAAGAACCATGCCAAGCAGATAGTAGATGCTTAATGAAGGTCAATTGATGGATAAAGTTTTGTCAACTCTTTTATATTGCCTCTCCAGCCCTACTTTGTAAATTTTATTTTAAAAAGTTTTGATCTCCAAATATCTTTTTATGCATTCCTTATCACTAGGTTCTCTCACTACTTGGTGGGAGAGGTGAGGTTAAATTTGCCCATCAGGTAGTAAGCACAGGATATTCTTTTTTAAAATTAATTCGTTTATTTTTAGTTTTCAAGATCCACAAGATCTTGAGTTCCAAATTTTCTCCCCATCTCCACCCCAAGATGGTGTACATTCTGAATATCCCTTCCCCTGATCTTCCCTCCCTTCTATCACCCTCCCCCTTCTCTTTTCCCCTCCCCTTTCTATTTTCCTGTGGGGCAGGATAGATTTCTATACCCCATTGCCTGTATGTCTTATTTCCCAGTTGCATGTAAAAACAATTTTTAACATTTGTTTTTAAAACTTTGGGTTCCAAATTCTCTCCCTTCCTTCCTGCCCACCCACCCTCACTGAGAAGGCAAGCAACTCGATACAGGTTATACATGTGTAGTCATGCAAAACATTTCCATAATAGTCATGTTGTGAAAAACTAACTATTTCCCTTTGTCCTATCCCATCCCCTATTTATTTTATTCTCTCCTTTGACCCTGTCCTTTCTCAAAAGTGTTTGATTTTGATTACCTCCTCACCCAATCTGCCCTCTCTTCTATCATCCCCCTCTCTTATCCCTTTCCCCCTTATTTTCCTGTGGGGTAAGATAGATTTCCATACCCAATTGAGTGTGTATGTTATGCCCTCCTTAAGCCAAATCCAATGAGATTCATTCATTCCCTCTCACCTCCCCCCTCTTCCCCTTCACAGTAAAAGCTTTCTCTTCCCTTTTTTATGTGAGATAATTTACTCCATTCTCCCTTTCCCCTTCTCCCTGTAAAATCCTCTCTCACCCCTTAATTTTATTTTTTAGATATCATCTGTTCATATTCAACTCATCCTGTGCCCTCTGCCTGTATATATTCCCTTCTACTACCCTAATACTGAGAAAAATCTCATGAGTTACAAATATCATCTTTCCATGTAGGAATGTAAACAGTTCAACTTTATTAAGTCTCTTATGATTTCGCTTTCCTGTTTACCTTTTCATACTTCTCTTGAGTCTTGTATTTGAAAATCATATTTTCTATTCAGCTCTGGTCTTTTCATCAAGAATGCTTGAAAGTCCTCTATTTCACTGAATATGCATTTTTCCCCTGAAAGATTATACTCAGTTTTGCTGGGTAGGTGATTCTTGGTTGTAATCCTAGTTCCTTTGACCTCTGGGAATATCATATTCCAAGCCCTCTGATCCCTTAATGTAGAAGCTGCTAAATCTTGTGTTATCCTGATTGTGTTTCCACAATACTTGAATTGTTTCTTTCTGGCTGCTTGCATATTTTCTCCTTGATCTGGGAATTCTGGAATTTGGCTATAATATTCCTGGGAGTTTTCCTGTTAGGATCTCTTTCAGGAGGTGATTGGTGGATTCTTTTCATTTCTATTTTACTGTGTGGTTCAAGAATGGGAATATAACTCCTTAAAAATTAGAATGGAGCAAATGGAAGCTAATGACTTTATGGGAAATCAAGGCATCATAAAACAAAACCAAAAGAATGAAAAAAATAGAAGACAATGTGAAATATCTCATTGAAAAAACAACTGACCTGGAAAATAGATCCAGGAGAGAGAATTTAAAAATTATTGGACTATCTGAAAGCCATGATCAAAAAAAGAGCTTAGACATCATCTTTCAAGAAATTATTAAGGAAAACTGCCCTGATATTCTTGAACCAGAGGGTAAAATAGAAACTGAAAGGCATTCTTCTCCTCATCGGCTTTTTGGACCTTTTTTGTCATTTGGGTTAATCTGTTTTTTAAGGTGTTATTTTCTCCAGAATTTAGCAACCTGTTGACTTGTTTTTCATGATTTTCTTGCGTCATTCTCATTTCTCTTCCAAGTTTTTCCTCTGCTTCTCTTACTTGCTTCTCAAAATCCTTTTTGAGCTCTTCCATGGCCTGGGACTGATTCATATATTTCTTGGAGGCTTTGGATGTAGGAGCTTTGACTTCTTTGTCACCAAAGTAAGACATTATGGTCTGACTTTTTTGTGCTGTTTGCTCATGTTCCCAGCCAATTAATTGACTATTAAACTCTTTGTTAAGGTAGGGGTCTGCTTCTAGTTTGGAGAATGTACTGTCCCAAGCTTTAGGGGTTTTGTGTAGCTGTTTTCAGAGATACTTCTAGAGATCTATAAATTTTCAGTTCTTCCAAGGTGATATGATCAAAGGCGAGGTGTTTATTCCTTTCCTGGCCTGTGCTCTGGTCTGTGAGTGACCACAAGCATTCTTTTCTGCTTTGGAACTGTGAGGATTCCTTCTTCAATACCACCATAAACTCCACCACACCAGTGTTCCTCCTCTCCCCAGAACCACCACCCAGGACTGTGACTCAGATCCAGGCATGGGCAAAGCAAGAAAATCCTGCCTCAACACCAGCAAAGAGATCCCTGCAATCCCCCTCTGATCAGCCACTCGATCTCCCCTCAATCTATGGGCTGAGAGCTCTAGAAGCAGCCACCACCCTGGGGCTGTGCTGGGACTGGGGCTGGACCATGCTCCTCTCTCACCAACGTCTGACAGACCTTTCCTACTGACCTTCTAAGTTGTCTTTGGCGTTTGTGGGTTGAGAAGTCTGGAAACTGCCGTAGCTCCCCTTGATTCAGTCCCCTGAGGCCTGCTTCAGGTTCACTGAGGCTCTGTCTTTGCCTGTGTGGCCCACATTGAACTGCGCTCCTCTCCCAGCCCAGCGCAACAGACCTTTCCAATCAATCATCCAGGTTGTCTTGGGCTGGAAATTTGTTTCACTCTGTCTTTTTGTGGGTTCTGCTGCTTTAGAATTTGTTTAGAGCCATTTTTATAGGTATTTGGAGAGGGTTTGGGGGAGAGCTCAAGCAAGTCACTGCTTTTATTCTGCCATCTTGGCTCCACCCTCCAGGATGTTTTTTACACAACAAATATTTTATAGTAGTTTCTCCCACAAATAGAACTCTGGTGCAAAGTAGAACAGTTAAGCAAAACTAGCTGACCCTCTTTAATAACATTTGCAATATTCAGCATCCATGGCCTTTCATCTCCCAACTAAGAGAAGGGATGTATGTTTCATCATCTGTTTTCTAGGACTGCGGTTGGATGTTGCAATTAATCCGAGTTTGATTGCTTCTAGTGTTGTTTAAATTATAGGGCTGTACTTTTTGTGGGTACCAAGTTCCCAGTTCTGCTTGCTTTACTTTGCATTAGTTCATACAAGTCTTCCTAGGTTTCTCAGAATTCTTCATATCCATTGTTTCTTATGATACAATAATATTCCATTACATTTGTACGCCATAATTTGCTCAGCCATTTCTGAATTGATGGTTATACATTTTGTTTCTAGCCTTTTGATACCACGAAAGTGTTGCTATGAATATTTTGCTATATGAGACCTTTCTTTGACTTCCTTGGGACGTATGCCTAATAATAGGATTACTGGGCCAAAGGGTGTGAATAATTTAATAACTTTCCTCACACAATTCCAAATTGTTTTCCAAAATGTTTGGACCAATTTACAGCTCCACCAACAGTGAGTTAGTGTTTCTGCCTTCCCATAGCCCCTCTAACACTATTTCTTTTTTCATCTTTCCAATTTGATAGGTGTGAGGTAAAACCTCAGAGTTGTTTTAATTTGCATTTCTCTAATTATTAGCTATGTGGGGCATTTTTCATATGGT